GGAGGCGGCCGGGAAGGAGCGAGCCCTAGACTCCACGCCGCCGCCCACGCTGGTTTGCACCGGTGGCGGCGGCGGCGGAGGCTCGCAGGGCGACGAGGAGGCGCACGCGTCATCCTCGGCAGCTGAGGAGCTGTCCCCGGCCCCCTCCGAAAACAGTAAAGCCTCGCCGGAGAAGGACTCCCTGGGTAAGCAGAGTGCAACCGAGGGCTCAAGTCAGGCGGGCAGACAGACAGACCCACAAGGAAGGAGCAGAGGACCAGGAGCTCGCGCGGCAGCCGCAAGCCTTGGCCCAAGCTGAAGGCAGGCTGACCTTCTGAACTTGTTTTTTAATATTTGGGCGTGGGGACGCTGTAAAAACCCATGTCGGGCTTAGTGCCCCACACCAAGACGTCCTTAGCGCTGGCCCCAGCTCACCCAGACTTGGGGGGATGAGGACACCAGTGAGCAGCCCTCCTCCTGTGCATGCACTTTCTTGTGGCCCTGAGTACCCCCAAGCCCTGGTCTCCAGCCCAGCCTGCTCAGCGCGGCCCACGCGGGGGGAGGGGCAGGGAGGGAAAGTGGCTCGCCTGCAGATAGCACGGATGTTTGTAAGGCATCCAAAATAAGCAGCCGCCAGCGCCAATAAATAAGCCCATTAACCGGCGAAGTTCGAGTTTACGATCCCCCGTGCCTTTTTCAAAGTTCCTGGAGGGGCGGGAATCCTTGTTGCAAGAAGAAGAAAAGGCAAATCCTGCCCGGACGCCTGGGCCCTGAACTGAAAACCTAGGAGTGGCCATTTCCCTTCTGTTGGAATTCGTTGTCACCCAACTGCACACCCCAGTTTCATGGAGAGACAGAGGCGGAACAGCCCTTGACCCCAGAATCGGCTTTTCGGGGACTTTCCTATTGGCCCAACTATATCCTTCTCCTCTGGCCTAGGGCAATCTAGGAGGCTAGGGTAAGCCTTAGTAAAGCTGCCGGCTTCTCATCCAAATAAATATCCCTTACCCCCAGCCTGGGGGCCGCAGGAAATGCTTCCCTGCCACTGCGTGAGAGGCAGAGAAAGGCGTTAAGTTCAAGATGTACGGCCTTGCCTACTCCAGCCTTTCATTCTCCAAGCGCCCCGCGGAGTGGCGCTAAAACAGGTGCCTGGAAAAAAGTAGGGGGAAATGTAAATTGGGAGGACCGGGTGTGGATTGGAGGCCCACTCGATTTTGTCATGCCTTTTGGAGGAATTTCTTGTTCTCCGAAAGTCAAAGGAGGGCATAACCCTCTCTCTATGAATTCGGGTATCCCTCTAATGGGAAAGACCCGGAATTCACCCCCCTCGCACAGCCCGAGTGGCCTCGACTTAACCTTCCCCTCTGCATTCTCTTAAACTCCAGGCAATTCCAAAGGCGAAAATGCAGCCAACTGGCTCACGGCAAAGAGCGGCCGGAAGAAACGCTGCCCTTACACGAAGCACCAGACGCTGGAACTGGAGAAGGAGTTTCTGTTCAACATGTACCTTACTCGAGAGCGTCGCCTAGAGATCAGCCGGAGCGTCCACCTCACGGACAGACAAGTGAAAATCTGGTTTCAGAATCGCAGGATGAAACTGAAGAAAATGAACCGAGAAAACCGAATCCGGGAGCTCACAGCCAACTTTAATTTTTCCTGATGAAACTTCCAGGCAACGCCCGTCTTTTCGCTTCCAGAGCGCCTGTACCCCTCCTTCGGCCTCCAGCCTCTGCCCCAGAACTCGCACCTGTGCCGGAGCCCCATTGCTCCCTTCCACACTCGCCGTCTCCCAGGCCGTTTCGTCTGTGCAGGGCTGGTTTGTTCTGACATTTTGTTTCTTTGTCCGTTTGCTTGGTGTTGGTTTACTTATTTTCTGGGGGAAAAAGCCATATCGCTAAAATTCTATAGAGATTGAGATTATCCTCACTGTCAAGTCCTGACTGGGCTGGGTTCGCGGCCTCGGGGGTTCCTACTGCTAGTACTGGCCCAGTACTCCTACGCTCTGGTTTCCTGCTCAGCCCTGGGTAAACTTAGCCGGAAGCCCTAGTCCCATTGTCGGCGCTGAGGTGTCTGGCCTGAGGTCAATGGTGCAAGGAGCCGCCACCGGGTTCGCCAGCCTGGAGTGCTGGGCTGTGTTTAATCAGGGAGTACAGGCCTGATTTCTCTTTTCTTCCTTCTTTTCTTCCTTGGCCAAGAGCGGAGTATTGAAACATGGACATGCAGGTTAGCTATAGGGCTTGAACTGGCTGATTAAAAAAATGAGAAAGAAATAATCAGAAAGATTAACTTTTTCTTTCCTGTGTAAGATCTCCCAGCTTTAAAAAAAAAATAAAAAATGGCCAAGAGAAGGAACCTTCTCTTCCCGTTTGCCTAAGGTCTTGCTTGCCTGACTAAACTCCTTCATTTACCTTTGAATTTCCATGTCCTGGCTGTTGATAAATAATGCAGGTTTGTTTATACATGTGGAATTAGTGGATTTTTGCCATTAAAATTGTTGCCATTTGGTAACACGCGAAAAGCACACCACGATTCTCCCTATCTTATGGAGTTGGAGTTTTTTGTTTTGTTTACTTTTGTTTTGCTTTAATTCACTTTTTTGTTGTTGTTGTTGTTGTTCTGTTTTGTAGGCTTTCTGAAATTCATGGGAGCCTAAGTGGGCTGGGGCAAGCAGATGAGAGAAGGGAGACATTGTTTGGATTTTCTTTATACTGTGAAGTTACATGCATAAAAGGGTCAAACCTGTAGGTGCAGAAAAAGAAAAAAAACTATAAGTACAAATCTGTATAAATGTCTATTATTATGAAAAATTGCCAATCTTGTTTAAGCAAATGCATTCTATCGTTATTATAAATGTTAGTTCTAGCTTTATTTACTTCAAATCTTAAATCAGAATAAATTAATATTGTATTGCTGCTGTGCGTGGAAAAAGATGATGTTTATGTTCTTATAGAATAAAAGCTGTGGAATGAAGCTTTTTAATTTTACCTCTTTTTTGATTTCTTATCTTCACCTTCCACTTTATCCTGTCCACCACTTTTACAACAGGAGGGCTAGCCCGAGCCCCCTGCAATTACTTTAGGCATCTATTTAAATATTACCTAGACGGTCGTAATCTGTCTGGGCCCTATAGCCCTGGTGCCTGAAGGTTTGTCGGCTTTTGTTCAGTTTTATGACTTGCTAGTATATCTGGATTGTGGCTGTCTTGGACCAGTGGTTTCAGTTGAGAGGAGAGCTGCATAGACAGAGGAAGCTAAGCAGGATTTCTTTCGGGAGCCAGAGAGACTCACGGAGGCCAGTTATTTTGCGGGTGTCCAGGTCCCAGAAGACCCCACGCCCTAAATCCGCAGAGGAGAGCCCACTCGCAGGGCACCACTGGTGCCTGAGGCAGCGGTTAAGTGGACCGGGGCCGAGCTGTCCAGGGTCACCCCCTCCCCCTGCCGGGCCTCCCCCACCTGGCGGCCCTCCGCTAGGCCACGCGTTTCCTGCTCGCCGGAGGTGGGGGGGAGCGGCTTGGGGGGGAGGGTCGCGGGAGCGCGCGCCTCAGCGGGCGGGCTGCTAGGAGGGAGATGGGGGGGGAGCGAGAGGCTGCGGGGAGCAAGTCGAAGGGGCCTGCCACCAGACACAGGACTGGGCTCGGTGCTGTCCCCTGCGCCTTCCGGTCGTCCGAGGAGGCTGCCGCACTGTTCTGCTTCGCGAAGCTGCAGAATCTGGGGAATCCTCGGCAGGCCTCTCGGTCTCCCCTCTCTTCTCGTCCTCCCCCCCACTTCCTTTTTCCTCCTCTTTTCTCTTTTCCCCTTCTCCCTTTTACTCTTTCATTCTCCTAGGCGTACCTTCCTGCGGACCGGTGGGTGGCTTTTTCCTCCACCACAGGTTTGGGGCAGTGGCTGGCGCAGGGTGCAGAGGGCTGGTCTGGGCACGATCACAGCGCAGGGCTCTTTCCTTGGTGGCGACGGTGGCGGCAGCGGAGGCGGCTGCGGGCGAGGCAGCCCGGCGCCGGCAAGCAACAGAACTGGTCGGTGATTTAGGTAGTTTCCTGTTGTTGGGATCCACCTTTCTCTCGACAGCACGACACTGCCTTCATTACTTCAGTTGAAAGCGTCTCCAGGTACCAGCCGGGGTTGGCCAGGCCGGCCATCAAGGCCCTAATCGTGCCAGGCCTGCGGTGGCAACCTCGGATCCCTAGTGCAGGAGGAGCTTCGGGTCCTCAGCGCTGTGCCATCCAGCCCGCCTCCCGCTTTCTGTCCCACACCTGGCCCGGGGCAGGTACGGTCAGGTTAGGGGCTGATTCTGGGACGCCGGGGGCGTGGTAAGAATTCTGGACCCCGGGCCATTCAAGGTCAGGGGCGCTCTCTTGCTGTCTGAGCTTTCCCTACGCCTGTCGGGGCTTTACCATTCTCCTACGAGACTGGGCTGGGACAGGGACGCACCACTGTAATCCCGCCTTGAGCCGAGGGAGAATTCGTTCACCCGTAGAGCCCCGGGCTGAGGACTGAGGGCTGAGTTAGGAGAGCCGGGACCTTCCGGGGCTGGTATCCTGGTCTTGTCGCTTATCCTTCCCTCTGCAAGCACGCCCTCTGCTCCCCAAGTCGCCGCTGTGTATTTCACGTATTTCCATCCTCTTTCCTTCTTTCTTTCTTATCTTTTTCTTTTTCCTTTTCTTTGCTCTTCCCTTATTTCTGTTTCTTTTTTCTTTTGTCTTTCATCTTTCTGTCCAGTTCTCTATCTCTCCGTTTCCTTTCCCGAGGGGAAAGGGCTAGCTTGGAGAAAGTTTTTGAAGCTTTCATTTTTCTCTCGGTGCACGAGCTTGAGTCTGCTGAGGAAGGGGTGCATAAGAGAGGCTGTTCGGGTCCGCGGTTTTTGGCCTGGTGGGCCTCTGCGCAGACAAGGCCTCGGTTACGATCACGACCGGATGGCGGCGGCCTTGCGTTAGCAGCTGCCTGAGATATCCGCTGAGGGGGTACCCGCAGCGTCTTTGTGTGCCCATACCGAGGGCAGGGAAGGAAACCTTCGCTAGTTCCACTGGTTCGGAAGCTGGAATCAGAGCGGAAGCCCAGCCTAGGTTCTGTGGAGCCTGGTTACCGAAAGAGCTCCAGCAGGAAGCTTCAGGCCGGTGGCAGCTTTACCGGCCCTAACTCGGGCTTTGACCGTGATGAAGGAGCCTCGCTGGGGCCAAGACTTGACTGCTTGCTGACTTGCCAGTGGTAGCAGGTCCAGAAAATGTTAGCCTAGTCCCGTCCCCCACCCCTTATCCTGCTGGGAGTTTGAGAAGGGGGCCTTTCCCAACCTTTTAAATGAGTGGAAAGAATGCCAAATTTAAGAACTAAAAGGACACAGGCTTAAGTATTGATTTTAAATCGTAATCTATGAAAGCCACCCACTCTCAATACAGACAACTGAAAACAAACCATCCCTTCCCTCCGCAGCGCACTCTCTACCCTGAGACCACAGAATTCTGTTTCCCTTCCCAGCTCAGTCTGGGAATTGTTTTCCTTGCTCAGCTCAACAACCTGTTATCTGAAAGACCAGTACTCCGGGTTCCCGCCAACTCTTCTCTGCCATTTTCTGGATCCGGGTATTGGATTTATTTCAGAGGCCAAGGTTTCAAGGAGATTCTCAGTTGGGAATGCGGTGGTTTGTAATTATAACCATTTGTTGTTTCTAGGTGTGCATACAAACCCTTTCACATCCAAAAGAAAGGAGGAATAAAACGCTAAATACTCTGGCATCCAATCTCTGGGCTCACAAGGACAGTATCTCCCCCTTCTTCCACCAGTAAACAGCTGCTTTACACTCAATGCCTGCTACTTATTTTGTAATTCTCCTACTTGGAGACTAATGGTGTTTTAAAAGCAATAATAATAATAATAATAACAATCCATGTCTTCTCTCGGTGGAAAAAAAGTGAAAAGGCAGAAGGCATGCTCTGCCACTTCCAGACAATTTAGAGCAGAGGTATACTCCAGGGTTATTGTCTAAATGAAAATCTGAACCTCTGAGGACTGCCGGATATTTAGAACACCTTGGACTGTGCTGGGGGTAGGAGGTGGGAGTAGGCGTAAGAATGATCTGGAGAAATTTGAAAGAAAAGGAAAATATTAGGGGGAGGGGACTGAGGCAGCAGGGACAAGCCACTTCCAGTTCCTGGTTGTGGCCACTTTCTTCTTCCTGCTGACAAGAAAAGAAGGAGGCTTGTAATTCTCCCTTGCTGGGAGAGCCTAATGTCCTGGCGAATCCTATCTCCTGGAATAGGAATGTGTTAGAGTGCTGGAAGATGTTTACTTGAGCTATTTTGTGACAAAGGAGGCAAAAAGAAAGATGGAAGTGTCTTAGGCCAGCCGTTTTGCTTATAGTGAAGTGAGGTAATGAGAAACACACTCTTGGAAGGCGCAGAATTCACACGTGAATTTCATTACACAGTTTCTAGGAGTTGTTGCTTTGTGTTCCGAACTGGGATAGGGTCACCCGCCTCCCCAATGAACAACAGTGGCTGTGGCCTTTTCACTTTCTCTCATCCCCTGAATGATTCTAAGGGGTGAGAAACAACAACCTCCATTTGGCCAAAGGATGAGATTAAAGTCAATGTCCAGTGCTCCTCCCGGGTTGATCTGTAGCACTGGACTTGAGCTGTTAGTCGCCTAGTTTTGGGGATCTCTGTTGCTTTGTTTCGCAGAAAACCAAGGCTAGAGACAGGAAGGAAGGAAAAGGGAGGATGGGAGGGGGAGAAAGGAAAGAGAAGGAAGAGAGTGTAAGGAAGGGAGTAGGGTAGGGGAGGAATGGGAGAAAAATGAGGAGGGAAGGATCCTGGAAGGGCTCATACTGGGTCCTGGAGAGGCCACTACCAAAGCTGGCGTTCTTCTTTTAGGCTAGGTTGCCCTTCAGCAAAACAAACTCTCCTAGTACTGATGTCCCCCCCCCCCTCCGGTCTGGGGAGAGGGCTTACAGATAATGGAGCTGAGAACCGGGTCGCTGGTTGAGAAATCAGTCGCTGAACCACTTGTGCTCAAAGTCGTGGGCCTGGGATCAGGCGGTGCTTGTGACACAATTAGATCCTTAAACCCTTGCGGGCAGCTGGCAGTTCCCTTCCTTGCAGTTTCTCTGTGGAGCCTTCCCTTGTGGAGTAAGGACGATTTGAGTGCTGGGCGAGCGTCTGACTAACTGTACAGTCTAGCAAGGCCCGGTAACCCAGTCTAGGTGGTTGTAGCAGTGATGGGATGGGATGGTGCGTCGCGGCAGGGGAGGTGGTCTCTCTGTTTGAGGTGGAGAGAGCCTTGTATTTGACTTTTTGAGGCGGGCCTGGGGGGGGGAGACCTCGCATCTCTGAGGACCGAAAGGATTATTTACAGGGTGCTCACCAACCAAATACAACAGTCTAATTTAACCTTTCCAAGTCGTCATAAATTTTTACAGGGAGCCGCAGTGAGGCAAAAGAATCTGTTGGTTGTTCCTGACTTCCCACCAGCCTGCGTGGCTTCCGAAACAATAACTCCTTATGAAATATCATAAATATAGATTTAAATACAGTAGAGTGAGAATGCGATTTGGCTGCTTTTTTATGGCTTCAATTATTGTCTAATTTTATGTGAGGGGCTCTGCTGGCCGCACTCGCACGCGGGACCCGCGCCTTCCTGATGGCGTGATTAATTGTGATATAAAATAGTCCGCTTAAGAAGTGTGTGTGCCTGGTGTGTGTGTGTCTGTGTGTGTAGAGGGGGGTGACAAGGGACAGTACAGAGGCAAGGCCAGATTTGATCTTTTAATCTTCGTTGGCCACAATTAAAACAAACCAGATTGTGCAGCGGCGCGATCCCTTTGCATAAAAACATATGGCTTTTGCTATAAAAATTATGACTGCAAAACACCGGGCCATTAATAGCGTGCGGAGTGATTTACGCGTTATTGTTCTGCCGGGCGGACACGTGACGCGCGTGGCCAATGGGGGCGCGGGCGCCGGCAACTTATTAGGTGACTGTACTTCACCCCCCCCCTTGGTGCCACCAAGTTGTTACATGAAATCTGCAGTTTCATAATTTCGGCGGGTCGGGTTGGGCCGGTCAGGCGCGGGCTACAGCGATGGCCACCACCGGGGCCCTGGGCAACTACTATGTGGACTCCTTCCTACTGGGCGCCGACGCTGCTGACGAGCTGGGCGCCGGACGCTACGCTCCAGGGGCCCTGAGCCAACCCCCAAGGCAGGCGGCAGCACTGGCCGAACACCCCGACTTTAGCCCTTGCAGCTTCCAATCCAAGGCAGCGGTGTTCGGTGCCTCGTGGAACCCGGTGCACGCGGCGGGCGCTAATGCGGTGCCTGCCGCTGTGTATCACCACCACCACCACCCCTACGTGCACCCCCAGGCGCCCGTGGCCGCGGCGGCGCCGGACGGCAGGTACATGCGCTCCTGGCTGGAGCCCACGCCCGGTGCGCTCTCCTTCGCGGGCTTGTCCTCCAGCCGGCCTTATGGCATTAAACCTGAACCGCTGTCGGCCAGAAGGGGTGACTGTCCCACGCTTGACACTCACACTTTGTCCCTGACTGACTATGCTTGTGGTTCTCCTCCAGTTGATAGAGAAAAACAACCCAGCGAAGGCGCCTTCTCCGAAAACAATGCCGAGAATGAGAGCGGCGGAGACAAGCCCCCCATCGATCCCAGTAAGTGTCTCCTCCCTGCAAGCCGGCCGCTGCCTCCACGCCGGCCACCGGGATCTACCAGCGCGTCAACTTTCTCTCGAGCCTGCCTTCGTCCTCGATGGGAGCCTCTGATCTGGGGTCAAGAACCAGAAGTTGGTGTTTGGAACACCTAAGATAGGGGCCCCAAGTCCAGAGAACTGCGCGGAGCAGTCCGGGTCGGCTGGGGGAAGGGGAGGAGGACGCTGCAGCAAGAGGGGGCGGGGCGGGCGCAGCGAATTGAGCCGAGACCCGCCGCCCCTCTGCTAAACTGCCCAGGCCCAGGACAGACAGACTTTGGGCGGTTCTTCGAAAGCAGAGCAGAAAAGTCTTTTGTGCGGCTAGATTGTTCAAGAACTGCAGCAGCAAAGTCAGCCGGGCAACCTGACCCGGGACGCTTGGGGAGACCTCCGATTCCCTCCACTTCATGCTTTCCGCCAGTGGCTGCGTAAATCCTGCCCAAGACGAGGCTGCGGCCTATGGAGCCACGAGGGGTCCCTTGGCCAGATTTATTCAAATAAACTGGAGACGCGATCAATGGCCTTGGGGCACCCTGCCTCCCACCTAGCTCCCAAGGCCTTCCGGGAAGGTCAAATAGAATGGGGACTGTCGCAGGGAAGCCAGGGAAGGGAGACAGTGAAGAGAGAAAGAGCATTCTTGTTTTAATCTTGCCACAGGGACACGGGGCAGCCTGCTCTTTGCTTTGCTGGCAAAAAGAAAATGGTTTCCAATTTCCATTCTTTCACAATAAGCAGACAGTAGGAGGAAGGAGAGCAGGGGACGGGAGAGAGCGGGGTGGGGATGGGAGGGGTGCTGGTGTAAGTGACTCTTCGTGGGTCCCTCTGCCAGGGCTCATTTTGTTTTCTCTAACCAATTCAGCGGCATCCTGCACTTCGGCCAGAGGACCCCCCCTCCCCCCAAGAGGCTCCTTCACACCCTTCCAGGATACTTCTTCTAAACCAGTGTCTCTCTCCCCCGCAGATAACCCGGCCGCCAACTGGCTTCATGCTCGCTCCACACGGAAGAAGCGGTGCCCGTATACAAAGCATCAGACGCTGGAACTGGAGAAAGAGTTTCTGTTCAACATGTATCTCACGAGGGACCGCAGGTACGAGGTGGCCCGGCTGCTCAACCTCACCGAAAGGCAGGTGAAGATCTGGTTCCAGAACCGCAGGATGAAAATGAAGAAGATCAACAAGGACCGAGCAAAAGACGAATGAGCCATTGGGGCTCATTTAGGAAAGAGCAAGCTAGAAAGAAAAAGAAAGGACTGTCTGTTCCCTTCTCCCTCCTCTCCTTACATCCCAGCCTCCACCACCCGCTCAAAGCGGCTCTATACCCCAGGCCTCATCTCCCCCTGGCAGTCCCTGCTCAGTCTGGCTCCTAGGCCTGCGGCTTTATTGGAGGAGGTATTGTAAGCTTTCCATTTTCTCTAAGACACACACACAAGGGAGGGCATTAGCTCTGATGACTGTACTGCTAGCTTGTATATATATTTAAAAAAAAATCTACCTGCTTCTGACTTAGAGCAAAAGGAGAAAAAAAAACTACCTTTTTTATATAAAATGCACAACTGTTGACGGGCTGTATAGTTTTTAGTCTCTGTAGTTAATTTAATTTGCTCTTCGTGTGGCAGGCCGCACTGCCAAAATACTTGAACACTGTGTTTTACTGTGGTAATTATGTTTTGTGACCCAAACTTCTGTGCTGGGTGAGGCACCCATTGTGATCGTGGAAGCTAGAATTCGATTTGAACTCAGGTTGTTTAGGGGGGAGAGAAACAGTTGCATCGCGTATAGCTCTGTAGTGGGATACTGTGTAACTAACCGTACGCTAGCTGTAAGGATTTCCCAGGGAAATCAGATTCCGAAAGAGAAGGCAGGTATACGCATAGACTCACCATTACTCAAATCCTTTTGAAATGTGGGCATCTTCATCTTTACATGTTCTAGACTCCAGTCTTGTCCAGTGTATATAGAATCTCCATATTAAAGAGATGTGCATCATCAGACAAGCTTGAATATTGTTTTCGCACCAGAGGAGAAATAAGGAATTTCGGAGCTATACATGTGTGCAGAGGGTTACTACCTATGGTTTACGCTTAATTTTAATTGGGGGGAAAATGAGTGCTTATTGTGATGGAGTTAATTTTATTGATAATAAATTATACACCATGAAACCGCCATTAGGCTACTGTAGATTTGTATCCTTGATGAATTTGGGATTTCCGTCTGACTGAACATACACTGTATATTTTGCAATAGTTACCTCAAGGCCTACTGACCAAATTGTTGTGTTGAGATATTTAACTTTTGCCAAATAAAATATATTGATTCTTTTACTTTGTGCGGATCTGCTCTTTGTACCTTCTTTTTCTGGGTCTATTTTCTGGGTGGGGGCCGGACTGAGATGAAGGGGAAAGAGCCCTAATTCTATCTTCAACAAGGTGCTTGAGCCGGTCTCCGCGGTAACCAATCTGGCCAGGCCTAAGCACTCCCGACACAGCCGGTTGTTTGGTTGTTTACCGGGTGGGTAGAAGCAGGGGCAGAAAGCGGTGGGGGGCGGGGGACACGACTAGGGCATAGCCAGTCACTCGGGCCTTGTGTCTTATTTGCCAGAAGGCAAGAGGGGCATCTGAGGTCCTGGACAGAAGCACTGGGCAGCGGTGGCCAGCAGCGGTGGCAAAGTCATTTTTTTTTATTTCATTTTGGTGCCTCAAAAATTTTTCCCAAAGCTGAACCCACAAAAAGGGCTGCGGCCTTTGGAAGTAGAGTGGTCTCGAGTTGAGGAGCGCAGGACCAGAAGCTGAGGGTCTGTGGCCTGGTCTGAAGAGATGAACGGGAGCCAGATATGAACAATGAAGTGGGCCCTTCAAATATTCGGAGGTTTCCAGGAGATGGAAAATCTGCACCCTCCTGCCCCACTGGGTCCTGCCAACCGGTCCAGGGTAGGTTGGGGAGGGGGCCGGTGTCAGCGTTCTCCACTGTTATGGCACCTCCGGAGCTTGCGTCCTCACAGAAGCAGGCCTTAGCAACCGACAAGCCCCAAAGTGCCATAAAAGAAAATGAGGGCTGTTACCCTTTATGGGGTGTAAAGGGCTGCGTGGGGGGAACAGCTACAATTTCGGAGGCTCAAGCGCCTTCCAGATGTAGCCAGAGGATTCTGCTTTGCTTCTCCCCCAAACTCCTTTTCTTCACAACCCCCTCCCCCGGAATGTTGACCATCTCCTAACGCGGGAAAGGGGTACCAGGGCGCCGGTGGATGGGGCGCCCCCACCCCCAATACGCCGCCAGGTTGGCATTCCCTCTGTTGTTGCAGACAGAAAGAACTTCAAAGCCTGGGCAGTGAGGGTGTGCCATAAAGGAAGGTCTGCGAACTGTCTGGAATTCGGCTCTTAATGAGTTTACAACTGTCCAGCTCCAATTAGGGTATCCCACCAAAACCCTTTCATTTGTGTGCTCTGTCTGCCTCCGATAAAGAGACTGCGGAAACAGCCCTCTTTTATGGGCATTGCCCTTTCTGCAACGTAGATTCCCGACTCCCCGAAGATTCTGGGGGACAGGGCCCTCGCTCCGCCCATGGGAGTGGGACGCTGGTGGGGTCACCGGCCTTGCCGAAGTTCACGCGGGCCCGTGCAGCTGCGACTGCAGTGCCAAGAAATATCCAGGAGATGGCAGTGTGGCTCCACGCAAGAGGCACTCCAGCCGCCATCTCCCGCCGCCGCGACCTAGGAAGCTCCTAAAATGTCGACTTGAAACGCGCCTTTCTAGAATGGGATCTGCGTGAACAGCAGTCGTTTATTTTCTCTGCTGCTCATGCCAACCTGAAAGCCTCCCGGGGACACAAGCATGCGCCGGGGCTTGCCTGACCGCCGGCGCTCGCTTCTCTCAGGCTCTATTCCGAGACCACTGCGTTGCGTGGCAGCAGCGGTGCGGATGGTGCGTGGCTGCGACTCAGAGAGCAGGTTCCATTCCAGGGTCACAGTTCCCATCCCAGCAGTGAGCTAGGGGTAGCGAGGCGCGCGGGGACGGTCATTCACAATGGACGGACGGACGGACAAGGGATCGAAAACCTACAGCCCCAGGACCAGATGAGCCCACAAAGAAAGCACCCAGTGACCACGGGTTCTACCGACCCTCGAGGCCCCGAAACCTGCGCCCTGGTTTAGGGCCTAGCGAGCCAGCACCAGAGAGAGAGCGAGCGAGCACAGACGTCAGGACTCGCCGGTTTGAATACCTGATTTTAAAATTCGGCGGCTGAAAATGGGTTAGTTATAAAACCGTACTTGGTGGTTGTCTAGTGTAGAACTGCCACGCATTTTGGCTGCGCTGGGGTAACTCAGGGCATACACTAGGAACTGTATTTGAAAATAAATGATATGTTTAAATAAGTAGGATAACACCGGAGCTCCAGGACTGGCGTTCACGAGGTTGAAATCTCCCTTGTTTCTCTGGCAGAGGTATTTCTTTGGCAATGGAATACCAAGGCTCCTGTGATTGGAGTCGCCGGCTGTGGAGGCTAAAAGCAAAAAAGAAAAAAAAAAAAACAATCTACTGCCAGCCTACTTTTAATACTAGATACGGGGACATACTCTGGAGCAAACGCGGCCAGGGTGCGAGGTTCAGCCCCCCCCCACCCCCCGTGTAGGATGGTTTCGGAAAGAAAACACAGGAGCAGACAGAGAACCAACCCTTCGAAGCGCCGCAAGTAAAGACTGTGCTGTGCATTTATTTGGGTCGTAATAGTCTCGGCCAAACCCACAAAATGCTTATGACTCGCATCCCCGTGCTGAACACGTTGTAAAACTAGGGACTCGATTTTGGCTGACATCTCTCCTGGGTCTCTGTCTCTCTCTCTCTCTCCCTCCTACTCCCTTTTAAAAATCTTCCTATATACACGTGGGCATTACAGACACACAGCATCATTATATTTCTGTATGTAACATACATTACTTCACAGCCTCTGCTTGTAGGAAGGGCTTTATAGCTTCCTGGAGAATCACCGGTGCTCGCCTACCCTAATCCTCAGAAATCTTTCTTTATGTAAATGCAAATAAGCAGCGAACCCGCTGACCAGTGAACACAAATAGAAGTTTCCATTTTTCTAACAATGGAAGTCACAGGTTGACGGCATCCCTTCTCTCCGCCGACCACAGAGGCCCCAGGTAGGTGCGGGCCTCTAGAGACTCAGAGGCCTGGTGAACTGCCTAGGCTGGCAGCCTCCCTTGCCCTTGGCCGACTGGCGGCTGGCAGGCTGCTCTCTGGTTTTCGCTGCTTGAGAGGCTTCGTCCAGGCAAGACCTGGCAAGAAACCGAGCTTATTTTTTCACTTCGGGAAGGAATTGATGTCCGCATCTAAGCTACAATTCGCTTGCCAGGTGGGGCACAGAAGCTGAAGCCTGCAGTCTATGCGGGGGAGGAGGATCGAAACATTTAAAGACCCCAAACTCGGAACCATTCGACTCTCTAGAAAATGCCATTCTCTGTCAAGGGCTGAGTTTATATTCTATACCTAGAGTTAAACATTGAGGACTATTTGGCGACAGGAAACACAGGAAACAAACTCTGACAGTAAGTAGGTCTGAGAGCTAACTCTGAGAAGGCGTTGAGAAATATTTAGATTGTTCTGCAGATTAAAAGCTGGTTTATAAGGCATCTTCTCCAGGGCCTGAGTTGAATAGTATGTGAATATTATCATATTAGAAATACATTAGAATGTACTTAGAAATACATTTCTGTCAAATAAATAGGGAACCAATGGCCAGAGAACATAGAATTAAGTAGGCTTTATTAAAAGTCTGATTTTGTCCAGATTTTTGTGTTGTGAAGTCTTACCAGGGAAGAGAGACTCAGAAACGAAGGAAAGGTTTTCGGTGACCCCCGAGACCCCTGCTCAGATGGAAGACTTGTGCTCACAAGTGCCAAGGCCTTGAAAGCAGCAGAATTTGGACCATATTTGGCCGTGACAAACGGGGACAGAGCCTCTTGCCGGGACTCCTTGGTCATGCCTGTGCCTGTCCAGAGGACACTCCGAGGCGTGTGAGTGTGATTTTTCCTGGGCCACCTCAAATCGCTCCGTACTCTGGTTGTCAGGCCTCTTCTAAAGGAAGGTTCCACTTTAACATCGTCGCTTTGGACTGCGCCAGTCGCCTGAGTCTAGACAGACCGCGGCGGCCTGCCTAGTCTTTCACTTTGCGCCTTGCTCCGTGTCACCCCAGGAACAATTTATTGGTCTAAAGCCGTCTAATTTCTCCTCTTTGATCTCCTAGCCTTCTTTTTGTTAGCCTCGTCTTCCTTTAGCTTTTTTAGAATTTTATTTCTCTGATACAAGACGCTGTTATTTGGATTTTCCCCCCTTCCTGTTTTACCCCCTCTGTTTCCCAGCCTGATCCGCCATAAAGGGGATCCCGGATATTGCCGCCCTAGGGTTTCTATGCTCCGGGGGAGATAGCCCAGATCCCACCTGCCCTCCTCCCCACCAAAGTCTGGAGCCCTTTGCTAGGTAGGCGCGGGATTTGAACCGTCCTTCCTCTTTTGTGTTTCCAAGATCCCCTGAGAGGATGCGGTGAACCGAGGGAAGGGGGGTACCCTGGACCCACTGAAAGTGATAAGAAAGTGCTTTGTACACCAGCAACCAAACTCTATAATTTAGAGGAGCATTTCCGGGGCAATTCCATTGTGAAGTTGGGTTTATGATGTGCAATCGAGTTGAGCAGTAAAAGGTGGCCAGTCTTCCAGCACGGCCTGGGCAGTTTATGAGGCGTTTAGGGAAAGAGTTCACCCAAGTATCCTTCAGAGAGCATTGGGCAGCAGGGCCTTCATCTGATCTATCACTTGCTGGTCTGAAGCCCCTTAAGGTAGGCCCCCAGGGTGAGAGACTGACTGTTTGGGAGAAAGTAAGACTGCGTTTGTGAAGAAAGACAGACAGACAGACAGACAGAAAGAAAGAAAGGTGAAGTTGTGAGATCCAGTTGGCCCTTGAGAGGGTCCCTCACTTGCTTTTTATAGCCTCCTAAAAAACTGGGGTTCCGCGGTGGGCTACAGCCCCAGTCCCTGACATCCCCTTTTTTTTTTCTCTAAACCAACTTTAAAAGTCTGCTGTTTCCCGGCCCACAAGGTGGGGGTCCAGGGGTAAATTGGTTGAGAGCTGCTCCAAACCTCCCATTATGAAGGATGTGTTTTGAAAATTGTGGACCAGCTGCGGGAGGCTGACCCAGTTTTCCCGTGATCCGGGGGTAACACCAGGGGTTGTGGGAAGGACAAAGGGGGTGTTGAGCCACCTATTGGATTGCTGAGAGCCAGCCGCCAGCCAGGTGCCCAGGAGTGAACGCAGAGTGTCTACAGGGCGGCGGTGTCCGGGAGGAGGAAAGGGAATCTCATGTTAATAAATCTGTTGGCAAATGAGGCTCATTAATAGATAAATATTTCACTGCTTCCTTTAAAGCGGATAAACAGAGCTCTGCCGATTAAAGAAAGGAAGCTGGGAGACATTGACTTTATTCGAACCACATGGCTCCAGTTTGCGGCAGCATTCTCACTGCTTAGCTAGAGGAGACGCTGCGCCTGCGGTGTTTGCCCTGGAGCATCTGATCCGGGCTTAAACGTTCTGCCTAGAGAGAGAGTGGGCAGAGTAGATCTTTCTCTCAAGACCATCTTTGGGCCGACAGGTTGCAGAGACCCTTCAGGGACTTGAGTCTGCAGAGAGGACAGGGACAGCGGGAATCCACACACTGAATCTGGGGTTCAGGAATCGGTATGAGGTTGTGGGGGGCGAGCCCTGCCGGACATCCAAAGGCTCGGGCACCAGGTTGGGGCTCTGACTGTTTAGGGCGTCTGGGGGCAGGCGGGGTGCAGGCCGCTGCGTGGGCCGCGTATTTGAGCCTCTTCCCCTTCCATTCTAGGCGCCCGCCGGCCCGTGGCGCGAGACCACCTGTGAGGGCTGCTGAGATTGGCGGAGGCGGTCATGTGGGCGGTCACGTGCCGCGGCGAGCTCCGTCCAAAAGAAAATGGGGTTTGGTGTAAATCTGGGGGTGTAATGTTATCATATATCACGCTACCTCGTAAAACCGACACTGAAAGCTGCCGGACAACAAATCACAGGTCAAAATTATGAGTTCTTCGTATTATGTGAACGCGCTTTTTAGCAAATATACGGCGGGGGCTTCTCTCTTCCAAAATGCCGAGCCGACTTCTTGCTCCTTTGCACCCAACTCGCAGAGAAGCGGCTACGGGCCGGGCGCCGGCGCCTTCGCCTCCACCGTGCCGGGCTTATACAATGTCAACAGCCCCCTCTATCAGAGCCCCTTCGCGTCGGGCTATGGCCTGGGCGCCGACGCCTACAACCTGCCCTGCGCCTCCTACGACCAAAACATCCCCGGGCTCTGCAGTGACCTCGCCAAAGGCGCCTGCGACAAGGCAGACGAGGGCGTGCTGCACGGCCCGGCCGAGGCCAGTTTCCGCATCTACCCTTGGATGCGCAGTTCAGGTAGGCGCCTCGGCCCGCCGGGTCTATGTGCGGGCGGAGCGGGGGGTGGGGGCGGTGCGGACGCGGGGCGCAGGGAGCCCAGTCTGGCGGCTTCCAGTCAGCGGCCCCGCAAGTCCCGGTGGCGCTGCCTTTCTGGTTTTAATTAGAGCTGAGGCGCCATTGCGTGGAGAGACCCATAGCATTGTATGTAAATGAGGCCCATAAAACTTTTTATGGCCCAATTAATGGGTTCGATCCTCGTAAATTTATTTAACTCCATTTGCCTTGGAATTTTTACAGTAAGTTTATCCGCTATTCTCTTTCTCATATTCTTTCTCCTCCCCCCTCATCCCCCTTCTTCCTTTCCCTCTCTTTTTCTCTCCCTCAATCTCTCTCCTCTATGCCCTCTTTCCTGTTCTCCGTTCCTTTCTTGACTCCAGCTCTTCCTCCCCTACTCCTTTTCTTTCGGCCTGGCTTTCGTTCTCAAAGGCAAGGAGAGCCAGGACCTCCGGGATGCCACTCACCCCTGTACCAGAGGCCATTTCCAGACCCTAGCTGGACCAAATACGAGAGAGAGTGGGATTGCCACAGGAAGGTCTTGAGCATGGGGCTGCCGAGGAGGGTTGCCCACTTTCTAGCCAGGCTGGAAAGCGGCTTGGTTTGCCTTTGAATGGCAAAAGTGCAGAGTCTCCCACTTGCCACACTCTATATTTACAATTTCCCTTTGTCAAGGGGAAGCAGGACATTGTAGAAACGTAGCCGGCTGGAAAGACCGGTTGTAAAGTTGGGATTCTGCTGGAAGGCTCTTCACAGACTGGCTCGCTCGTCTGGCCCCGGGGTCTTCCGCTCACACTCCTCCCCCAGCTCAATTGGGGGTGATGGGGGTTGCGCCTGGGTTTGGGCAGGGTGGAAGGTACAGGCTCTTGGAAAGCGGGGCCTGACTGAAGGACTATTCTGTCCACATCCCAGCCTGCTTTTCTGTTTGTCTATATGTCCAAATTTCTGCTCTCAGGACCCGATAGAAAGCGGGGACGCCAGACCTACACGCGCTACCAGACGCTGGAGCTGGAGAAGGAATTCCACTTTAACCGCTACCTGACACGGCGCCGCCGCATCGAGATCGCCCACGCGCTCTGCCTCACCGAGCGCCAGATCAAGATCTGGTTCCAGAATCGGCGCATGAAGTGGAAGAAAGAACATAAAGATGAGAGCCAGACTCCCACAGCGGCCCCCGAAGACGCGGTGCCCTCCGTCTCCACGGCAGCTGCTGACAAGGCAGATGAGGAGGAAGAGGAAGAAGAGGAGGAGGAAGAGGAGGAGGAGGAATAAAGGGCCAGGAACAGGGCCCTGACTGCACGGGACAGTCGGAAAAGCGTCTTTAAGACACTCACTGATTTTAGTTACAAAAAAGGGGGGGGAGATAAAGTGTAAAAAGAGAGAGAGAGATAAAGAGGGAATCAGTCCCCACCCTCATCCCACCCACCTCATCACCCACTCTAGCTCCCAGGGGGGAAAGCAGGTCACCTTGGGGATCCTCTCTGCCTCTGAGGACCAGTAGATACCCCCAACCCTGGGCCAGTGTTGTGCGCTGGCACAGTCAAAATACTACCTAGCACAGGCCTCCTTGAGAGGCACCCCCAAACTACCTATGGGCCCAGCCCCAGTGGGCCACCACTCCTAAGAAGCTTCCTCCACGTCCTTACAGTGGCAGACACCCAGCACCTGCCCCCCCATCCCTGCAAAACACATGACCAGTACTACCTACTAGGCCTAAACTACCTATTTTGTGCTGGCTAGCTTTTCTGCTTCACCGTGCCCACTCCTCCCAGGCCAGGCCTTGATGCTTCTAGCTGACAGTCTTTGGGGTCACTGAGGCTTCAATGACAAGGCAATGAGGTTCAGGGACCAGGGCATTGGCTTCTATTTAAATTGAAAAATAATATATTTATTCCAAAGCATACCAAATGCTGCAGTCTAGAATCCCTCTTTCTTTGGCTTTGGCACCTCAAGTTCAGGGCCATTACCCCTATTTCTGGAGGGGAGCATTCCTGAGCTGGTTGCAGACCGGCTTTGTGGGACTAAGGAGATGTTCCCAGACTCACTGTCCCTTCCATTGCTTCTGTGTCCTACTGTTCAGACATGTATACTTATGCCCTGACTTTTCCTACCTAGGACAAATACTGTATATTTGAACCAGATTTTTTTTTTTTGGTCATTTCTATAATCTTGGAGCTCATTTGTAAAGGAATGTCTTGACTTGGGAAGGATGTTTTAATGGGGTGACTTTGTAGCATGGTGTGTTGTATTGAACTAATTCTGTTGTGGGTGGGAGGCGTCCAGTACCCACCCCAGTGCCCATTTTTTTTCCGTGTTGTCCATGACCCCCTTAGACCCAGCCTGGGGTTCAGGGAAGGCATGCTTTCCAGCCCAGTTACCTATGTTTTATGTAACAATAAAGATGCTTGGTGACAAAGAAACACTGACTGCTTTCTCCAGAGGGTTTGGGACTAGGGGAGGTGGCCATAGCTGAAGGGCAAGCCCTGTTTGCAGGTTAAAGGACCAAGGAGAAGCCAACAAGTAGAAACTGTCCTTGAGTCCAAATTTAAATATTCATGCGTAAATGTGTCATGTCTCTTTTTCCACGTTTTGTGTTTAGATTTGTGCGAATAAGCATATTTCTAATTTTAATGTGTGGTTGCTTATAGTTTTCATAATAGTGCATTTTCCCACATCCATAAAGTGTGTATATCTGTTGTGTATCAATGTTTTCCATGTCTATAATTGGATGTGTGGGTTTCTGTGTCCAACTGCACGTTTTTCTGTGTCTATGCGTGCATTTTTCTGTATCTATAATTGCTTATGTGCAATTTTTATGTGCATCGTTGTAGATGTTTTTGTCTGGCTATTGTGTGTGTGCACCAACATCTAGATCCACTGAAAACAGCTATTAGCTAATACAGTATAGTCTATCTATGGCCTCCCAAACTTCACACATTCCAAGAACGAATTCCAAATTCAACCTTTCCTCTAAAGGTGCAAACTGAGCTCTCAAATAGTCTTACCTACCCTCCAACTGATTCCGGATTCCGCATGCGCCCTGAGTCCAGCCCCAGAGTAGGAAATGGGATTCAGGGTACTTGCAGCACCCCCACTTAGCCTTCAGTAGAGGCAAGGATGCCCCAGGGCTTAACACTGCAGTGGAGGGGTTCTGGGACTGCCACAGCCCTCAGACAAGGCTGCGGCAACCTAGGCAAGTCCTGTTGCTGAGGAGGAACTGTGGCTGGGGAAGGGGCGAGCAGCGAGGGACCAGGGTCGAGGGGCGGTGGAAGTAGCTTAGAGGATCCTGAGCATGGCCCGCGAAGATCTCCATTCTTATCTCCTGGCTGGGTTGAACCAGCTTCTTAGTACTCTTTTTAATAAATCGGACCTAAAAGGGTCTGTAAAACCTGCAGCCCCAAGTCGGGACAGCCTCAGTGGTAAGATGGCGCCGGTGTAAGAGCTGCCTCCTCTTAGTGATGGGGAAAGGGTCATAAATCCGTTGTTGTTTATGAAAATTTACAACTTTGCAATACAACTTTATGAGTTGTTCGGCCCTTCCATTGGCCGCTGTCGGTCATGTGGATAGGAACCGTGAACATGAACTTTTTTATAATTTCCCTTGCGAGAATAGAGCCGCATTCTTTTGCTCCGCTCCGTCCTGCGTGCTTCGGAGCTCTGCCTTCCCAGCCTGCCTGGGCTGCGCTTTGTCCGGCGATGGCCAGCGAGGGGAAGCCACTGCCAGGCCCAGGCCGGCCGCTGTCGCTGGAGGTGGGGCGCGTCCAGTTCCTGGAGCAGCAGCCGCCGCTTTGCAACTCACAACCTGGCTAATTTCCTGCGTCCTCTGGCACCAGGAAGGAGGACAATTCGTCTCCTGGGCTGCCGAAGCGGACAGCTGTCAGAGAGGCAGGAGCTTCTGGGAGCCGCGGTCTGAAGGTGAGACATGTGGGAAGGAGACAGGGGAAAGGTGGGTGAGGTGCCACAGTGAAAGAAGAGGACACCCAGAACGACTTTGAAAAGGGGCATTTCTCACCATCATCCATACTGTCCCTTCACACAACAGCCCAAACACGTCACTCATTCTCACCCACTACCGACAACACCTACAGCACTCACAAGGCAAATAGGCCTTCCCACTGTGGCACAGTGCCCTGGCACTGGGCAGGAGCGCTTAGGGCTTCACTCCCCCTTCCCCAGTGACCCCGGGAAACCCAAAGGGAAATCATCTGGCATTCGACTGTTCTCTATCAGCCCCTGGGGTTTGGGATTATTTCATTCATGACCCAAATTGATTTAACTGACTGCCCCAATATCAGAGATAGTTCCCGACCTGGGAATATGGGCAGAGGGGAGAGAAAAAGCGAGGTAGCCCACAAGCGTTAGCTTCAACACTATATTCTCTCCAGTGGAGAAGGGAGGATGAGGTAAACAAGCAAACACAAAAGCAAAACTTACTAATTCAGAGTTCTCCGATGATTGCCTGCTTCATTTGCCCGGTTTTCCGACCAGAGTGAAGTCTGGAGCCCCGAGAAAGGGGCTAGGTGCATGTGTGGAATTCTGTGTTGGAGGAGAGAATCGAATTAATTGGGTGCTAAAGGGGGATGTTTCGGTGCAGAGGACTGTTGTGTCGGCGAGTGCGGAAGGACCAAACCTAAGGTTTCTGAAGGAAGGTTGCAAAACGGAGTCTGAGAAATAACAGGATAGCAGCCCCAACCAACCTAAGGACAGTGGGAGGATGATGTTCAAGGTCCCCTATCTCCTGAGCAACCCGGGAGAGGACCACAGCTAGCCGCGAGGCGGCACTGAGTGTTGCTGGCCTGGCTGTAGCTTTGCATTCCGCGGTGGTACCAGTCATGGTGGCTGAGCCTGAAAACGCATCTGACCAGGTCAGATTTGCCCCCCACGAGAGACAGAGACACTGGAGAATGAGTGGCGAGATTCTGGGCTATAGTTCTTTTTGTTTATTTGGTTTTTGGTTGTTGTTGTTGTTGTTTTCCTATTACAAGATAGTATCTCAGCATAGGCCAGACAATTAAGAATGACACGTTGATATTTGGGATGTTCAGCGGACAACGCTGTGGGTGCGCCCCGGGCAGGAGCAGATAAAGCGCCGCGGCATTTGCCTCCTAGGGCCGCTGACTGCCTGACTGTGGCTGCCTCGGGCAGATTATTTATTGCGACCGTGCTGGGAGCTCGCTGCTGCCACGCTGTGGCCGTCACCGGGACGGGCGCCAGCAGCGGCCCGCCTCTTCGAGCCTGGCGCGACTGCTGTACGAGGGCCCCTCAGAGATTTCCCCAGAAGCAGGGGAAGAGGGGGGGCATCAGGGGCAGTCTCCCAGGGTCTGTTTGGCTGTGAAACCTCCCTGCTTCGGCTATCCATGACAGAAACCTCAGTCGCCGGAAGAGACTCGGGTCCTTCCCTCGCCCTCAACCCAGCACCATGGAGACTGGTTGTACAGGCCGCTTGGCCGGCTATGGCTGCTTCTGTCCAAACTACGCGTCCCAAAGGCGCCCTGGGGGCGCACGTCAGTTGCCAGTCGGGAAAGGCGTTGGCTTTGAGAGTCTGACTTCGGAGAGACCAATTGTAGTTCTGAGGCCTTGCTGGCCTGGCTGGCCCTGAGAATTGGCTATGGCATGGAAGGCGGTTCTTGGAGAGGGCCTTTGACTGGCAGAGGCCACACCTGTGTGCTTTGGGCTCTGGGCTAGAGATTTGGCTGGATGGAGATGGACCTTCAGGGTCCTCCCACACACCTGCAGGCCCCGCTCCAGGCTGGCCGAAGTGGAGGGGCACAATGGGCAGCCCAGAGCAAGGGCAAACTGTGCGACCCTGCTGCCATCCTAGCCTTTTTGAAGAGAAGATGAAAGGTAAGTTTTCTGTGTGGCTTTGACCTAGCAGAGAGTCCTGGGGTGGTCACTCTCATAACCTTAGGAGAGGCTCTGTGGAGAGTGTGGAGATCTTGCTCGCCACTCAGTGGATCCGTCAGGACTGACTGACTCCCCGCCCCCCCATATATACATATGGAAGAATAAACAAATCCACTGCCAACTGAAATATGCACTAACCTTGTCTTACACGGAAAGATTTCAATTTAATTTTTTTCCATCTTAATGTTTACAAAAGCTGGAAATACATTTTCTGGCTCCTAGCTGAGAAATCAAATTCTCTTATTGGCTGAGACAATGAAATCTAGAATCCAGGTCAAAGCATAACAATACGAGTGGTAAACTGTCAGCAGCTCCAAGCCTGTGCGGGACATGGAGGAATGAAAGAGAGACAATAAATATAAACAATTAACACTTGCAAAATGGCTATTTTCGCTTCAAATGACGTTGGTTGAAATAATTGTTATCTGATTTTTTTAAGAACCAATAACTCAAACTTATTTTCTTCAAACAGCATTTTAAGAAAAAATCCCCCCTTTTTTTCCTCCCAAGTTTTCATGTTTTTGTGTTTTGTGTATTGCATCTTCTCTGTGAGGAACGCTAAATTTTATCCTCTCCTGGGTAACTCTTGGTCTTATGGAAAGAAAAAAACTTTCCTGGGTTGGAGAGATAAAGACTTCTGCACACCGTTTCTGCTACAGCCTTCCTTCGGTGCGCCTTCATAGGCTCTCTGGAGGCCGACCTTTGGCAAGTCCTTTACCAGCTTTCCCCTTTTGGGGGGCGGGAGGGAGGGAAGGTCCGGGGGGGGGGGAAGCAAAGAAGAGATTAAGGAAGTCGTTACCAGATTCCTACAGGACCATTACCAATTGTCACCTCGGCCCAAACCCCGTCAGTCCGCACGAACCAGGGTTTTACAGATCTTACAAACAACCTCCTGAATTCCAACCAAATCTCGTAGTCTCTCTGCCGCCCACGCAATTGGGGATTTTTAAGGCCGAATCAAGGGCTTTTTACAAGCCCTACAAACAGAGTTGTGAAAATGCCACGGAGCTAATAATCGTGTTTTACAAAATGAGACTGATCCTTATGCAAGCAAGCCCAAGACAGGCTTTCCAGGTCCAATCTGGGAAGCGTCAGGCCTGCGCCGGTGGTCAAGGCAATTCAGGATTCTGGAGCTAGTGACAGAGTGACAGAACTGTTCTGGTTTTGTAGTTACTGCCCCAGTAGGAGTATTTGGGGGTGGGGAGGCGGGGGAAAGTGGGTATGCCCCCACGACAGTGCAATCAACGTACTACCGGGAAGCCAAGCCCATTAATTATCCTGTGCGAGGATTTGGGCCGCAGGAGCTGCACTCTGAGCCCTGCTCAGCCGGGGGCCTGCATCTCTCTTGCTTCTAGAGTGAGACTAGGGAGAAAGTGCATCTGGAGTTTTATCTGTCACTGCTCTAGGCAGTTCCAGTAGCTTAGGAGAGTCCTGCATGGGGCACTGGATGAGAGGAGTTAAGTCTCATGGATGGCTTCCTAGTCCGGTCTCTCGATCTCACAGACATTGTCCTGTACATCATTTCTTCTTGAAACTATGGGTTTTAGCCTCTCCTCTTTATGGGTTCACAGACAGGATACGGTGCACAGTCGGTGTTGTTGCTTGCTTTAAGCCCACGCAGGCACGGGCCATTGCAGGCGAGTCAAACAGGGAGGGCAGTAGTGGGGAGAAGGGGGTACAGGAAGGCCTGGGCCTGGTCTGCGAGGGGTGGTCTTTCAGCCTTTGGCAGTAAGGCCCAACCTGTAGTGAGAATGGGAGGGGATAGGCGTTCACGGATCCCTAAAGCATGGTGCTGAAACGCAGCGTGAGGGCCTGCTTCTCAGAGACCCTTCTCCAGCGCAAGAACCCACACCCACGATTAAGGGAGTACAAGGGGAGGGGCAGCTCAGGTCCTGCCTGGGACAGAGGGTTCTCCAGAGCAAAGCCATTCTCATCACCGCCCCTTCTGGCTCAGGCTTGTCAGGTTTCCTGTTTGGAGAAAACCAGCAAAAAACCAAAAGGCAAAAAGGGAAAGAGGAAAGGACAGGCCTGGTGGGGCCTTTTCATTGACCTGGGCACTAGTGCCTCTTCTCGACTCTGATCTACACATCCCTGCCCGGGCCGTGCCCACCGCTGGCGTTCAGGGGTGTGTGGGGGAGAGCGGGGGCCGGCTGGCTGTGTGCGCCCATTAATCTACCAGGCGGGCGGGCGGCGGGCGGGCGGGCTGGGGGCTGTTTGTAACTTTGCTGCCTCGGTCGCCGCGGTCCCCGGGGAGCGGGCTCCGGCGCTCGCTCCCATTGGCCGCCGCTGCGTCAGCTGGTGCGATTTGCTGCTGTCGCTTTTGGCGTTCGGCCATCCAGAAACAAACCAGTTCGATGACTACTAATAGTTATAGCCAGATGTACTAATACACAACAAATCACAGTCCTGCAGAGGGGCGCGCAAATGAGTTCCTATTTTGTGAATCCCACTTTCCCTGGGAGCCTGCCCAGCGGCCAGGACTCCTTCTTGGGCCAGCTGCCCCTCTACCCGGCCGGCTATGACACGCTGAGGCCCTTCCCGGCCTCTTACGGGGCGTCGAGTCTTCCGGACAAGACATACACCTCACCTTGTTTCTACCAACAGTCCAACTCGGTCCTGGCCTGCAACCGGGCATCCTACGAGTACGGGGCCTCATGTTTCTATTCTGATAAGGACCTCAGTGCCGCCTCACCCTCGGGCAATAGCAAGCAGAGGGGCCCCGGGGACTACCTGCACTTTTCTCCCGAGCAGCAGTACAAACCTGACAGCAGCAGCGTGCAGGGCAAAGCCCTCCATGAGGAAGGCACCGACCGGAAGTACACGAGCCCTGTTTACCCCTGGATGCAGCGGATGAATTCCTGTGCGGGTAAGGCATTTCCCTGCTCCCCCACCCTAGAGAGTGTAGGGAGAAGGAAAAGCTGGCAGGCAGGGAAGGAGGAAGGAAGGAAGGAAGGAAGGAAGGAAGGAAGGAAGGAAGGAAGGAAGGAAGGAAGGA